TCCCTCAAAAGACTAGGAATAGACTTACCATATGACCCAGGAATCCCGCTCCTGGGCTTATATCCAGAAGGAACCCTACTTCAGGATGACACCTGAACATCAGTGTTCATAGCAGCATTATTTACAATAGCCAAGACATGGAAACAGCCTAAATGTCCATCAACAGATGACTGGATAAAGAAGAGGTGGTATATTATACAATGGAATACTACTCAGCCATAAAAACTGACAACATAATGCCATTTGCAGCAACATGGATGCTCCTGGAGAATGTCATTCTAAGTGAAGTAAGCCAGAACGAGAAAGAAAAATACCATATGAGATAGCTCATATGTGGAATCTAAAAAAACAAAACAAAAACAAAACACAAAGCATACATACAAAACAGAAATAGACTCACAGAGAAAGAATACAAACTTGTGGTTGCCAAGGGGGTGGAGGGTGGGAAGGGATAAATGGGATTTCAAAATTGTAGAATAGATAAACAAGATTATACACAAGATCTTATGGTAGTTCACAGAGAAAAAAATGTGACAATGAATATATATATGTTCATGTATAACTGAAAAATTGTGCTGAACACTGAAATTTGATACAACATTGTAAAATGATTATAAATGATTAAAAAATGTTTAAAAAAATAAAGCAGGTAAACAACAAGGACCTACTGTATGGCACAGGAACTACATTGAATATCTTGTAATAACCTATAATGGAAGAGAATCTGAAAAAGAATATACATATATATATCTGAATCACTTGCTGTATACCTAAAACTAGCACAACATTCTAATTCAACTATACTTCTATAAAAAAAAAGATTAAGTATACCTGAAATACATTTTCATGTAAAGAATGGAGAAGAGAACTAGAAACAGGGCGAGAGGTATATGTTCAGTGCAGAAGAAACAGCCTATAAGAAAGATCCTAGCAGGGCAAAGAACATGGCACAGAGGAGCAAATAACTAAATGTAGATGTGTGTGGCTGGAGCAGGGAAAGCCAGGGAAACTGGTACAAGATGATGGTGAAGGGAGAGACAGAGGCAAACATTATAGGACCCGGAAGGGCTAGTGCCCCTTAGAAGAAATATTGCCCTAAAGAAGAAAGGCAGCCAGGAGCAGAGACCATGTGAGTGAAGGTTTGTGACCAGTTGCAGGTTCGTAGAAGGCGGGGTAAGCAGCAGATGAAGAGCTAACGGAAGCCCACATGGGAGAGAAGGATGTGGGGGCTTTGGGGTCATCCAGGGGGTCTTCACGTATCTCAACTAAAGATGCATTTTCCTTTCTGCAAGCAGAGACCTCAGAAGAGAGAACCAGCCAGCTGAGGTGTCAGGGTGACCTGCAGTCAGGCTGAGACTGGCGTGGGGTGGACTTAAGCACGGAGGGTCACATCTTCCAATGCTGTCCAGCCCCTGTGTTGGCAAGAGCTCTGGGACTGTGATGGAGATAGAAGCTTCCTGGGGGCTGGGCCAAGCCTCCTGAGTGCGGCCAACCGTCAGTCTTTCTAACTACCCTTTATGTGCAGAGAGGAAGCAGCCGTGCAGCGCTGTGGAGTTACTGCTGGCACAGAGGTACACAGATGTCCGGGAGGGGACAACAGACTCCAGGGTCAGCGGGAAATCCCCTATATTTGATCTCGAGACACTGTACCCATCAGGGATTTCTCCTTTGTCAGTTTTGTTAACATCATACGTGAAATAGATCAGCTTCAGCCCATGCCCCAGGTCTTGTCGATACCAGTACATATAGTCGTGGTTATCAGTCTGGTGACATTGCAGAGTCAGTGTCTCTCCTATCACTGCGATCTTGTATCTTGGGCTCTGGGTGATCCCAGCCTCCACCTGCCCTGTAATAGGAAGGTACAGAACCTGAAACTGTCGTCCCAGGAGGAAGGCTCGCACTGAGGTCTTGGGAATTCCAGGGGAGGAAGCCCACCGTACTCACCTGTCCACAGGAGACAAGAAGCCGCACAGAAAAAGAGCCTGGTGACCATTTCAGGTCCAGGGTAGAATGTCATGTCTTCCAGTTCTCTTGGAGGGGAAATAGAACTTGGGTTCTCGTTAACTCAGTGATGTCACTATCCTTGGCACATGTTTGAGCTGCAGAGCTTAGATGCCACGCCCTTTCCCCACAGCAATGAGTCAATAATGCATATAAAGTTGAACGGCTCAGAACAGAAAGAATTTGTAAATCTGCTTTAAAAAAGAAATCTTATTAAGTCTATATCCTTCTCCCCTGCTTGTTAGTAAGGAAATTTGTTCCTCTATGCATAGTGATACAATTCCTTATTTATATACTGTGAAAGTTTTCATAATATTTCCGTAGACTAAGAAATATTTTCATGGCAGTCCTGATCCTTTTGTGATCGCTCAAAATTTCACCAGTTTTTTTTCTTTGCCTAAACTCTGAATAATTGCATGTCAGCCTACACTGATCTTTTCATTTAAAAGGAATTACCTGATGTTCAGAAAGTTTTCAGCTCAAGGTCAAAGTCATTGGAATTTAAAGAATTGTTTACCTTCATGGGAGTCCCACCATCTGTGTTCAGGTCCTTAGATCCTCCGGGGTAAGTCTTCTCTTGTGTCAGACGAGGCCTCAGAGGACTGGACCCCTTAAGGACTGTGACCGTGTTCTCTGTGAAAGAGAAAGGAGGCTCGTTAGCAAGGTGGATGAGACATTTACCCAGAGGTACACATGCCTGGTGCCTGTGGGGTCACAGGGAAATGTTCTGTCTCCATTCGGAAGGTCTTGCACCCACGAAATGGGAGAAAATTGACTGAATCATAAATTCGCTATAATGCAGAACTTACAGCTAGCCAATATCAGAGCCTATTGTTACTTCACATCTAGGTCATGTATGTGTGTGTGGCTCTCCTATTCCTGTGACTACGTATCTCAGTGTAATCTTGCTGGGTAATTCCTATAATCACACAGAAGTGAGCAAGGACATGGAACCCGAAATCAGAGACAAGGAGGAGGCTGATGTAGCACCGCATGGGATGGCTTGTGGCTGGGGCCTGGCAAACCCCAGAAGGGCTTTCCCATCTATGCCCAACACTCACTTGGTCCCAGGGACCAAGAGCCACACAGCAAAGCAGCCTACTGCCTGTGGCTGGTCAGTGCCAAAAAAAGGGAGTTTTGCAGCAAGGATTCACATAGCTTAGGGTAGGGTGCATGGAGTCCCAGACAGCTGAGAATTGTTCTCATGATAAGGTATGATCTAGCCATAATATTAGTATTCTCAACAACTACCTAATTTTTTAGGGAGATAAGCTTTTACCAAGAATGCTTCCTTTTTATTTTTAAATTAATTATTAAGTCACAAATTTGTATCACTGAAAATGTACACCTCACCTAGAAGCTTTGTCTGTTTTTTGAGTTTTTGTTTGTTTTTTGCACTGGTGTTTCTAAGCACCTGGAACAGTGCCCACACACAGTAAGTAGTGAACAGTGGAATGGCCATGAATTCAGTGGACAGTAAGTTCAAGCCTTCTCACATAGAACCTTTCCAAGACTATAAAAGTTTTTTCTAATGCCCTTTTCAAAGAGTACTGTGGCATTTTATAAGGTTTAGGCCCCACAAAACCTGAATCTACTCTGTATTTAACAAGGGCTTATTGAATGACTGAAGAAAAAAATGAGTCAAGACCAACTCAACTTCTATAAACAACTCGATTCATTGCAAGTAGGTTCAGAGCTTTAAGGGAGCAGAGACCGTGTGAGTCTCTTGAGAATCAAAATAAACTGGGAAAGACTCATTCATATAAGTTGTTATAAGCCTTTTTGAATGACTGAACGGCAGTATGAAGAAAAGAAAAATGGCGGTCTCTTCCAAAGAGAAGGGTCTTCTGATGGTCATGTCAGAGAGAAGGGAGAATGAAACAGGGAAGGGGAAAACCAGGATAAAGTCACCATGCTGAGATTGTGCTGGGGCAACCGGAGAGGGATTCCACTGGGACCTCCCAAGAGGCATGGTGTATGGCTCCCTGAACCATCCCTGAGCGCAGACATTGGCGCCTTCGTCCCCTGGCTCCTGTCCCACCAGGAGCACTAGCACCTTGTAGCTCTGGCTGCCCTGTGTACAGGCCAAGAGGACTCCTGTGACAGCACAGAAGACCCTGGAGCGGAAAGCAGAGGGATCCCCAGCATGCACGTGGAGGGGGGCTTTCAGCATGGGGTGAATGGGCGCAGACCACGTGAGGATGTGACTGAAGGCACCAGAGGCTCCATGATGGCCGCCCTTCAAATGATCCTGGCCCTTCTACCGCATCTTTTGCGTGGCTCCTATTAGCTCTGAAGCTGCAGTTTTCCAGAAGCGCCGCCCCTTCTTACTTATCAGACTTAATATCACACGGAAAGGGCTGCCATGGCTCCCATGTTCATTTTCCTTTGAGTGGCAATTCTTTGTAGTTAGTTTCAGGTCATAAATTATCAGACGACTGTATTTGCATTGCAGATGACTCTGTGTCTGGAACACAAGTGAGTCAGGCAAAAGTTATCCCTGCCTGCCTTTGATCCCAGAATTGCACGTAGTAAATAATCGTGCTAGACCAGCGATCCGTCAGAGAGTTAACAGGGAGCTAGGGTTTCTAAGCCTGTACTTTGTATTAGGCTATTTGTTTCATTTTCTTGCATAAAATCTCCACCAGACACGTATTATTCGTCTCGGTTTACAAATGGGAAAACTCAGCCAAATATTTTTCAAGTCACCAGTTCAAGACAGGTCAGAAAAGTCCATGGCAGAAGAGACCAAGGTCCCCAAGCCAGGACTCCTTCCTCTTCAGCACATAGCTTTCCAGGTGAAAAATGTTGTGACAATCATTTGTGTCAGAGGCAGTGTTTCTGAAAGGGACTTTTAGGTCAGCATTCCCTTTCTGAAGATGTCCGTCTACCAGAACACAGATGAGCAGAGTGATGTAAAGCGTAGGTAAGTTTGAGTCTCAGCTCTGATCGTTGTTAGCTGTGCCTACTTTAGCAAATTATCTAAACTCTCTAGCAATCATGTTTTTTTTCACCTGCAGTGTGGGTAAGTTGCTCTATCTCAAGCGGTTCTTAAGAAAACTAATTGAAATAATATACTTAAGCAGATGGCACAGAGGACATGAGCAATAAAGGAACTTTCTTAGAACTTCACCTAAAAGGAGTGAATTAAAATTGTCTGTGTTCACTAAAAGCCTGTGCCTACCGCCTGTAAATGGCTACACTGTGCATTTAACAGCTGTGACTCTCAACTGTTTTCCGCAGTTACTGACCTGGGCAGAAGTAGCCATTTCAGATTTTCCGATCAAAGGTGAGAGCCAGCTGCAGCCTTTGGAGACCCTTCCTCCTCCAGACCCACCAATGGTTTAGAAGCATTAATTCTCTGTATTACTTCCATTCTGCTTGAAATTCCCAGAGGGCTTCTCTTTCCATGGCTGAATCCTCTGAGAGACTGGAAGCCCCCCTGGTCACTAGGTCCTGTATTAGGGGCTATCATGGCCCCACTCTGTGTGGAACTAGGACAGGAGAATCACATTCTCTGGCTTGACGTCACAAGTCCTAGAAGATGTGTGATGCGTGCTCCATCTTATTGACCAATGTCCAGGAAACACCATGGAATTGCAGGAGAATGTTGATTTCGGAAGCATGAGGATGTAGGTGGGGCCCTGCCTCTCATACTTTAAATATGAAATATTTGGAAAGTTCATGGGCTACAGCGTCCTGTCTATACTATGGTATACTGAGAACTTTCTCATCTGTCAAATGGACATACTCGTCTGTCTTTCATTAGGACACATAATGTAAACCTTCACTCCAGCACAGAGGAGGAGCTCCTGCTGTTTGCTGGGAACTGTGGGGCTATTCAGGGAATCTGGGGCCTATATTCAGGAGTGCTCTGGCTTGAGCTCAGCAGGGCAGTGAGAGTGTTAGAAAAGAATTAGAAGCATCTCTGGAACTTGGCTAAGGGCCCCCCTCCCTCTCCCTGTCACATGTGCAGCTGGACCAGGAAGGTCTGAGTACAGAAAGCCAGCATCCCAGCAGGGCTCTCCCAGGCTGCTGGCACAGAGGCCCCGAGCTGAGTCTCCCAGCTCCAAGGAGCTCAGAACTACCGTCAGTGAACTGTCGAGCTGAGAAGCGATCAGGGATGTTACTTCTGTCTCCCTCTCTGCCTTTTCCTAATACTCAGCTGGGGGCCCTGGCCCAGAGCCTGCAGGTTCCAGCACACACTGTTGTGTCCAGAGGTGGGGCAGTGTTTCAGAACAGCCCTGCCCACTGCCTTTGACTAGGTGTCTCGCACTGAATGCTTCCAAGATCTACTGAACCTGTAGAGGAAGGAGGCAGCAGCTGGAGACCTAGCACAGGAAGGGGTCTGATGCCCGAGACACAGCCAAAATCTTGGGTTCAGGGGTTGTCCCACCTGAGCTCAGGACTCATCTGCCCCCAGGAGACCGAGGGCCACACAGCGGGGAAGCCAAGGCCCGGGCAGACTCAGGCAGGACCAGACTGGGCTTCTCTACTCGGGGCTCTGGTCTCCAGGGTGAGAGAGATGTTTGTTTGATCCTCCCTTTTCTCTGGTTAGAGGGCTTGCCTATGATGTCACTGTGCTGATGTCCCTGTCCTCGTGGGCTCCCCTGGGCAGGCTCTGCTGATCCAGTCCTTTCCGTTCCGTCCAGGCACCCACCGAGCAGGGGAGCTGCCTGTGCTGAGCTAGGCTGGGCAGGGCTGGGCGGGTGACAATCCCCCACAGCTTCCCTGTTGCCCTCGGAACAGGTGCTCCTTGCCCTTCAGCTGGGCTGGATTATCCCGGCTGCCCCACTGAAGCCTTATCACACTCTTCACTAAATGCGGCCTCCAGGGGAGGCTCCTGGCCGGGGCGGGGGTGGGGTGCGTGGCTCCCTGCTGTAACAAGCGCGCCTGCATGTCTGTCACTGGGAGAAGATTACGGGCGACTCTTCAAATGCCAACACTAACTCTGATTCATCAGATAATCTGCCTGACCCGGGGACCAAGCCAGGACAGTCTCTCCCTTAACCCTCCGCTCCTCCTCGCCCCTCCCCTCCCCAGCCGCTCACTCAGTGGATCCACAGTGCCCTCACGTGGCCGGTTGTGCAGCAGCGCTATTGCCATGGCCCAAGCGGGCCGGGTGCTGTCTAAACGACGCGTCAGGATCCCTTTGGCCAGGATAAGGCACAGCTTTTGCTGATTTGCTGTTCATCTGTCTGGGGCTCACCCTTTGCATGTGGTAGTGAGGCACGCAGGAAGCAAAGATTTTTCCAAAAGAGAATGAAAATTTGAAATCTCTTCAATCCGTGTTCTAGGAAAGGGGATACCAGCCAGTCATTAGATGCCAGCTGCTCTGGGAAGGAGGTGGGGCCTTGGGCAAAGTTTTCTCTTTCAACCAGAGACTCCCTGGAGAGGCTGACAGTGGAGTTCCATTGGCCAAAAAAATCTTCCAAGCAGCGAGAGAAAGAAACTCACCAATTCCATAAAGAGGGATCTGCCCACCTACATACCTTCTGGTTTTGAATACCCTGTTCAAATCTTTTGATCTTTTTTAAAAAATTGAATTACTTATTTTAATTATTGATTTGTATGAATTCTTTATATTATGAATACACAATCTTTCTCATCTATCTAGGTATCTACAGTCTTCTTAGTATCTTGATGAACAACATTTAAAATTTTGATAAAGAAAAATTTTATTTTTTTTAATTAGAACACTTTTCATCCTCTTTTAGAAATCTTTGCCTCCTCCAAGGTCATGCAGAGACTGCTGTATTTTCTTTCAGGCGTTTTATAGATCATTGGGAATATTGATCCATTTCATGTTAATTTTTGTTTATGGCAAAGGTCAGCCAACTTCTTCTGTAAAGTCAGTAAATGCATTTGGCTTTGTGCGCCCCATGGGGTTTCTGCCACAACTGTCCAACTTTGCCATTTCATACAAAAGCAGCCAGAAATAATATGCAAATAAATGCGCTTGGCGATGGGCCAACAAAACTTTATTTATGGATACTGAAGTCTGAATTGCCTGTAATTATCATCGGGCACAAAATATTATTCTTTGTATTA